CTGCTAACTTCCCTATGGAAGCCTGCACTTTTTTCATTGGAGGAAAAATATGACAAGAAAAAAAATTTTTTCCCATTTCTCAAATCCAGATTTAGATGCAACTATGAGGCATGCTCTTGGTGACATGGATGATTTAATACACACATATTTTTAAAAGGTCGCCACATTAACTGTTCCTCCAAAAATACCTGAGGGGAAGGGGGAAATAGGAACAGATGGAAAGTGACAAGATGCGTCACTTTCCTATTTCACTTCACAAACCAGCTAACAGATGTAGAAATAACTCAACAGATACTCAAGTCTGCCATCATTTGACTCTGCCACCATTGACAGGCTTCACTTTTACCCAGTAAAGCCTTGTCATTTAGGAGATGAGAAAACCATTAGTTAGTGTTTCCTGGTGTCTAAACATGGTTCTACATGAATGAATATGTCTGGCAATCCCAACCAGAAGTACTCTACCAGTAACTTTCTATATGACCTCTAATTTGCCCTCTGTTGTTTAATGACTTTTTATACATTTCTGTACTTTCAAGATCAAGGGTAGGGGAGAACTCCTGTCACTAGATGCATGGAGGGCTAACAAATATCCCTTAGTCAAATATCCTCTACCATAGACCAACTTTTCTCCTTTCTCCACATGCCCAGTCTCTCCCTCCCCTGCCACCAAACATTCCAACATCCCCTTTCTATTCTTCTCTTCGGTGGTTTTGATAGTTTGATTGGAGGGCAGAGGCCTTGGGTATGAAGTTGCTGGGTCACTAGAAGAATTAAATTAATACCCCCAATATATTGCCATCCACAAGAGGCAATGTGGTAAAGTGGAAAGGGCCCTGAACTTGAAGTTAGAAGACATTCATTTGAATTTTGATCCCATCACTATTTGAAGCCTTTACTTCTTCCTCTTTAAAATGGGGAAAACAATATACACTATGCTTATCTTACAGAATTGTTGAAAGGCTCAAATATGATAATCAACATCAAAGCTTTTTATAATAGTAAAACACTGTGTGTTTGTGTAAGAGCTATTGGGACATTTTCTCCTTTCAACCCTTTGAAGATGACAAGGAGTTTATTGCATATCAGAACTTTTAAATATTAACAAATCCTCAGTATAAAAATAAATATAAGGAAACTTCAATGTTATATACACACATACACACTTGTGTATGTCTGACATATGTACAACACACTCCTCTGCTATATTTTTGAAGGGGAACATGCATTCTTTTTTCTCTTTGCAAGTATTAAGTAGTTTGAGAAGAGAATACCTTTACTCTGAGAAGTTTTCCTTTGGAGAACCCATCAGTATTGATAAGGTCAAAACAAAGTTCTGAGTACATGAACAATGGTTTTATCAAGCCTGTTTTCAAAGGCATTTCTTCTCTTATAACTACGGCCCAGAGAAACTTCTCCCAGTTTTATAAGAACATTTAAACCTATGTCCCTACTAGTTGATATTGGTTTGCAATCATTAGAGAAGTTAGAATTTCCTCCTAGCACTTTGTTAAGAGAGTAGGCAGTATCCCAGCATCCTTTCCAAGAGTGTGTTCCCTAATGCAACACCACCAGTACTTGGGGAGACCTGTGGCCACACCCACGGTGACTTTATGACCCATGCCTCTGAAAGCATTTTTGGGAATGCCTGAACCGTAAGAGGAGGGTTTACATAAATCTATAAGCAGAAACTATCCTCTAGATAATACTACTGGTATTATTGGGAAAAGAAGAATAACTGTAAAAATGGATCCAAACTCTCTCAGGGAATCAGAATATAATTATTATTATTAATAATTAGAATATTGTGACATTATAATAACAATTATATAATCATTATATTAGTTATTAATATTGTAAATATCAACAGATAGCCTAACAATTCTTTGTAAACTTCACAATAATGTGTTTTAATGTTTTCTTTCCTTTCCTCCTCACCTAAACCTACTCCCACCTGGGTAGAGAGAAAAAAAAAAACAATAAAAGCAGCCCATTCAAAACCTTGCAGAATGAAACAAGCCAGTGACAAGCCCTCCTATCAAATCCTTTTCAATTTTGTATAAACATTCAGAAAAGCCAACTGGATAACTGAAAATAAAGTGAGCTATTGAAATGGCTATTTAATGGCATTTATATAGCACTTCAAGGTTTGCAATGTGATTTACAAATATTGCATTGTATCTTCAAAATACCCCAATTAGGTAGGTGTTATTATTAACCCATGTTACAGACAAGCAGAGGCAAAGAGAGATCATGTGATTTTCCCAGTTTTGCCCAGCTAGTAAGTATCCAAGGGCAGCTTTGAACTTGTCTTCCTGACTCCAGGGTCAGCCCTCTATCCACTGTACCACCGAGTTCCCTCTAACATAGAGAGCTGTGTGGGTGCGTGTTTAAGAATCAATTGCTTTTGAGGTCCTGCCACGCTGTGGACCTCTCTCTCAGGGCACATGGTCCTGAAATCAATATTTTTCAAACAAGGACTTTGTGGTCATTGCCCTTTGTTCTTTCTCATAATTCTCTGTTTCTGGGCATATACCCCAGTATATGCTTCTTTTTTTTTCTTAATTTTTTTAATTAACACATATCTATTTTCTCTCCCGCCTATGTCATCCACATGGACAAGTTGGAAGGGGACATGTAACAAATATAGTCAAGCAAAACAAATCCCTACATTGTCTAATGTGTGTGTGTGTGTGTGTGTGTGTGTGTGTGTGTGTGTGTGTATCTACCCTGAGACTATCATCTCTCTGTCAAGATATAGGTGGCAAGTTTCATCATGTTTCCTCTGGAATCATAATTGGTCATTGTATTGATCAAAGTCCTTAAGCCCTTCAAGGCTGTTTGTCTTTGCAATGTTGTCGTTATTCAATAAATTGTTCTCCTGTTTCTGCTCACTTCTGCTCATGTCAGCTCATACAAGACTTCAGATTTCTCTTAAACTATCCTCTTCTTTACTTCTTATAGCCCAATAGAATTTTATAACATTGACATGCCATATTCTCAAACTGATGGAGATCCACTTGGTTTCCAGATTTTTGCCACTACAAAAAGAGTTTCTATAAATATTTTTATATCTGTGGGATTTTTCCTCTTTCTTTGATCTCTTTGGGATATAAGCTTAGTGATGGTATTGCTAAGTCAAAGGGTATGTATGGTTTAGTAACTTTGGGAGCACTGTTTTTCATTACGACTGGAACAACTCACAGCTCAACCACAGTGTACGAATGTACCTGTTTTCCCATCAGCTTTCCAGTATTTGTTATTTTCCTTTTTTATCAACTTTGTCTAACTGAAAGGTAGAAGGTGGAACCTCCAAGTTGTTGTAATTTGCATTTCTCCAATTATTCATGGCTTGGAGCATGTATTTTTCAAATGGCTAATGACAGCTTAGATTTTTTTTCTTTAGAAAATTGTCTTCATATCCTTTGGTTATTTATTAAATAGAAAATGTCACTTAGTCTTGTAAGTTTAAATCAGTCTCTTATTAACCCAATATTACAAATGAGTAAAGAGGCAAACAGAGAAGTTCTAGAAACAAGACTCTTAAGCAAAGATGTTTCCCCAGTTATCTTTCCTTTTCATTCTTAGCTACACTGGTTTTCTTTATACAAAACCTTTTTTTAACTTTACAGAATAAAAAAGTCCATTTTATCTTCTGTGACTCTTTCTATTCCTTATTTGGTCATGATTTCTTCCCTTATAGATCTGAAAAGTAAAAATTGTTTTTCTTGCTTGTCTGAATTGTTTATGATGCTACTCATGATGTCTATACCATGTATCCATTTTGAAACTATCTTGGCATATGGTATGAGATGTTGGTCTGTACCAAGTTTCTGCCAGATAGATCTCCAGTTTTCCAAACAGTTTTTGTCAGATAGTGAGATCTTACCCTGATCTGTACTTCTCTAATCAAGGCATCTAAGAAAGTGATGGTGGTTGGAAAAAAAGAGTGAATAGGAGAAACATATACCTTATAGGGGGACACTAATCTATTTTTTAAATGAAGAGAAAGAAAAAACACGACTCTGCAATGTATGCCTTGTGTGACTCTGAAGTGACTTCCTCTCCCTAGACCTTAGTTTTCTCACATATAAAATGAAGCAATGGCTAAGGCCTTTTTTAGCTATTAATGTTAGGCTATTCTGTCTATATACTCATTCAGTATTTAACACACACTTTCTAATGTTACTGATTAAATTTCGTGTGTGTATGTATGTATATACATCTTGCACTCCAATGTCCCCAAGGATAAAGGCTTATATTGTTCTGTAATCCCCAACAGTACAAGCATTCAATAAATATTTGCTGGTTGACAGATTAAGCTTGCTGCTTTCCCCCCACCCCCACCTCCCAATAAATGTCTAAGTGATTGGTGATATAGCACACATGACAGAAGAGCATTGAGCATATACTGTTTAACAGTTCAATCTTCAATACAGAACTGAAGACCAAAATTTTCTAAAAACTGATCTACGATTCTAGATTCTGATTTAGAAAGGACCCGAACTGGCATCTAGTCCTGGCATCTAGTCCAATCTCATACCTACTCCGGGAATCCCCTATGCAGTCTCCTTGACAGGTGATTCTCTAACATCTGCTGAAACAATGAAGTGGGTAAGGAGAAGGAAGAAGAGTGGAAGGTCTTCACCGGTTCGTGAGACAGGCTGTTCCATTGTTACATTGCTCGAAGTGTTGGGACGTTCCTCCTTATATTAAGCCAAAATGTTTCCTTGTTACTTCCACCCTCTGTTTCAAGACTAGTTTTACCCCCATAGAGCTATTCAGAATAAATTTTATCCTTCTGACAGTATTTCAGACTTTCAAAGATAGCAATCATGCTCTCCCTAAGTCTTCTCCTAATCAGGGCCTGAGTTTTGGCCCACCCAACTTTCATGAGACTTTGTTAGCCCCGCCTCAGTAGGAACCCCAGCACAGATTGAGCAGCATTCCAAGACCATGAACTTCAACAGAATTTATTGCTACCATTTTTATTAGGTTCTTACCTTCTTTTTTTAATGTGTCCCCAGTGAAGTTTCTTAGTGTTGTGTCCCTAAGCCCATTTCCTCCATAATCTCTGTGGATTGCAGGATTTTGCATAGCTTGGTGCTTTGGGAAACACATATGCAACATTAGAGTAGAACTGGCTGTAATGTGAAATAAGATTGGAAAGATAAGTGGGAGTGATGTTGTTCTAGATGCTATGGTTTTAAGAATGCTGCCTATGCTTGCACACAGGTTGGGGAGGGTGGGGCAGTGCAGGAGGGTGGTACTTTTTAGAGCTTTTCTTTAGCAGCCAGATGATGCTATTAGCTCACACTGAGCTTGTGGCCAAATTTCCCACCCACCTCTTCCTCAAAAACTTGTTATCAAGACTGGGCTCCCCAAGCCTATCCTTAACATGACTGATTTTTAACCCACAATGAGCCTTTGTAATGCTCCCTATTTAACATTTCCAGACTTTTGCTCCAGGCTTTCAGTGTTTCTTAAATCTCAATAACCACTCAGCATGAGGGTGAGTTGTCTGTGTCATCTACAGACCTGATAAGCAAGGTCTCTCTGTTTTCAGCCATTCCCCTGTAGTCATAAAATTCAATAGCTAGAATTTATAAGACATTCTTAAAAAATACTTTATAAATGTTTTCTCAACTCTCACAATAACTCTGGGAAACAAGTGCTACTATTATTATCTCCATATCAGAGACGAAGTTACTGAGGCTGAAAGGGATTAAGTGACTTGCCCAGGGTCACACAGCTAGCAAGTGTTTGAGGCAGAATTTGGACTAGGGTCTTCCTAACTTCAAATCCAGCTTTCTACCCACTGAGATATCTAGCTTAGAATGGCTCAGACTCAGTATAATGGAGAGTATAGGAAACAAAAGACTGATGGGATTTTCCCTTAAAGTCTGCCTCAAGGTCTACCCCCTCCATCCCCTACCTCACTTCTGAAAGTTATCTTTCCCACCTAATTTTTCTCATACCACTTTATACTGATCACTCCCTAACAACCTAATGCCTAATTTGTATTATAGTTACATATATTAAATATATACATATATATTATAGCACATGGCTTAAAGGGGGGGAGAAAAGGAAAAGAAATAAGCATTTACACAACATCTATATGTGCCAGGCACTGTTCTAATCACTTTTACAAATACCTCATTTGATCCTCACAACAAATCTGAGAGGTAGGTGCTATTATTATCCCCATTTTACATCCAAGAAAACTGAGACAAACAGAGGTTTAACTAACTTGCCTGGAATCACACAGCTAGTGAGTGCCTGAGGCAAGATTTGAACTCCACCATGCCATAAGCTGCCTCTAAAATATTTCTTTTGATCTTCTGTTTAAATAGATGCTATTATGAGTCTTATTTTACAGTTGAAGAAACTGAGGCAGACAGGTTAAGGGACTTACCCAGGATGACACAGTTAGTGTCTGAGGTCAGATTTGAATTCAAGTCTTTCTGACTCCAGGCCCAATACTCTCATCCACTGTGCCACCTAGCAACCTCTCCTTACAAGCTTATTGTAGGCAGGTACTATTCTGATTTCTTCTTTGTCTTTCCCCATTTACCTAGTATAGTGCCCTGCACAACATAATAAAAACTACAGTAAAATCTGGCATTTTTTTAGTGCTCTAAGGTGTCCAAAACACTCTATATCCCTTATTTTACTTCAGACCCACAACAATCCTGTTAGATTTTTATCCCCATTCTGCAGAGGAGAAAATTGGGGCTCAGAGAGTAAAAATAACTGGCCCAGAGTCATACAAATAGTAAAATGCCAGAGGAAAATGTGAACCCAGTTCTTCCTGACTTCGGGTCCAGGGATCTTTCAACTACATCATATTATCTCTCCATAGGAGGCACTTAATAGGTGTTTGTGGAATTTTTAAAAACAAACCCATTCTATGAGTAAGGGGAACAAGGTTATCAATAAGAAATTGCATGAAAGAGAAGGAGGGCGGAGGGGAAGGAGGACTAGGACATTATGCTTTAAATCTGATTACAGTACCCACAAAAATAAAAAAATAAAACCTTGTAGGCTAAGCCTATCATGTTGGCTTCACAGAGCAATGTGATGTGACAGACCAGCACCCACATCATTCACTTAAACTGCAACCATGTCTGACATAAGGCGCGGCGAGCACCAGCAGAATATGTCCCTTAATGCATTTAGAGTTGGGGAAATTATTCATCAGAGGATCAGCTAAAGGGTTTAGTCTCCCCTGGATGCATTAGAGCCAGGTCTTTTAAGTCAGTGAAGGGACCTCTGTGAATTGATCCTGAACCAGCTTCCAGAGCCATGTTCTCATTACTGGCTGCCAGAACCATGAAGCCATCTCTATGACTCACCAGGCCACACTCACGTTCTTTTTTAGCCACAATCTTGTTGCCTTAACTTCCTATCTCCAAGCCCGGCTCCAATGGAAAATGATGAAGCCTCTCCATTGCCCCCAGTACACCCCACATACACATACTAGATACATACATATATATTATATATGTGTGTGTGTGTGTAGGCTAGTTGTAGATGAACTCATTATCCTTAGTCTGAAATGGTAGAATTAAAAGTTCCCTGTAGGTAGCCAGATCTTGTATTAATTATATGAAATCCGAGAGGAATAACCCAATACTTTCAACATTAATTAAGAAAATTCGCCCGGCCAGAGTCTAGGCTAGAAAGGCTCTAGGCCTGAATTGGCCAACCTTTTCATTTTACAGGGGAAGAAACAGATTTAGTCAAAATTAACAGTAAAGACTAAGATCATTTCAAGATGACAACTAAGAACATTTTAAATTTAAAAGCCTTCTTAGATGAGAAATGGACATTTGAAGGGACACAAGACTTAGGGGTTTGAAGTGGCACACAGGAAGGATAATGGTCTAGACAGGAACTGCTTAGGAAGATTTTATGGCATTGCCTTACTATATAATTCATGAGTTTCAAAGGGATTTCCTTAAAGTCTAAGACAATTCTTTGTAACATCTCTGGTCAGTCTCAAACTGCAATGATAGTTAAACAATTTTTAGGCTGGATTCTTCACAGGATCACAGAATCTCAGGACTGGAAGGAACCTTAGCTATCATCTAATAGAGGATTTCCCAACTTTGTTTGTGTCATGGACGCCCTTTGGCAGTCTGGTAAAGCCTAGGGTCCACTTCTCAGAATGTTTATACGTGAATAAAAATAAAATACATAGAATTACAAAGGAAGTCAATCATGCTAAAAATGTAGTTATCAAAACATTTTTTAATTCACACATCCCTATCTAAGTTTAAAAACCCTGATCTACTCCAACCCAATCCTTTCTATAAAATCCTTGATAAGGATATTTCAATTTTCACTTGAAACTCTCTACTGAGGGAGAGCTCACTACTACCTAAGGAAACTCATTTCCCTTTTGGAAACTCCCATTATTAAGCAGTATTCTCTGCAGCTTCCACCTACTAATCCTAGTTCTTCCCTATTTAATCAAGAACAAAAGTAACCCAGTTCTTTTTGTGGTGAAGAATTGGAAATTGAGGGGATGCTTATCAATTGGGGAATGGCTGAAGAAGTTGTAGTATATGATTGTGATGGAATACTATTGTGCCATAAGAAATGACAAGCAGAATGGTTTCAGAAAAACCTGGGAAGACTTATATGAACTCATGCAAAATGCAGAACCAAAACATTTTACATAGTAACAGCAATATTATAAGGGTGGTCAACTATGAAAGACATGGCTACTTTAATTAAGACAATGATCCAAGACAATTCCAAAGAATCCATGATTGCTTTTTTTAAAATGCTATCCACCTCCAGAGAGAGAATTGATGAACTCTGAATGGAGATTGAAACATTTTTTTTACTTCCTCTATTTTTCTTTTTTTATTTTGTCTGTTTTCTTTTGCAACATAGCTAATATGGAAAAAAAGAATAAGGCTAATCTTTTTTCCGTATGCTTTCCAAATTATTTTTTTTATTCCCTCTGAGTCTTCTCTTGTCTAGGCAAAACATCCCTAACCCCTTCAATTGATCACAGTTTTACAGGTTTAGGGCTAGATACCACAATTTTGTTTTCTTTTTTCATTAGGATGGGAGGCTAGGAATAGAGTCACAGAAAAGGAAAAAGAAAAAAAGGGTCACAAGCATTTTTTTCAATACAATGAAAAGAACAGGACAGTCAGAAACATAAGCAAGCTGTACAGTTTTGAAATTTACATGTTGAGTACATTATATACTTAACAGCAAGATGTACATAATATTCATGGTTTCATGTATGATCCTCTTCTTCTGTTCTATGAGTATGTGGAAAATATCATTTCATATTATATCATTTCTATTAAGTTCAGAATTTTTTATTTTAAAGATTTTAAAGATTTTAGAAAATATTTAATCCAACTCCCTCCTCTTACAGGTTAGGGAAACTGATCCCAGAGAGGTTGTCCACAGGCAAGGTAGCAAGTAATAGAGCCAAGAATTGAACCTAGGTCCTTTGGCCCCAAATGCCTTTTGTTTTAACCTCATAGTCACTTCAGAAAATTCCCACCCCTGCCATGATTCCCCATTTGTGGCAAGATTGACAGGCTATCTGTTTATGCAACATGTCGCTCCCATAGTATACCAACTTTCTCACAAAAATAAAAAAGTTTAAATTCCTCATCTTTTCTCTGGTGTCAAGATTAATCATTATAATTACATAGTGTTTGGCTTCATACTCACATTCTTTCCATTTAACTTACGTAGACATTTTAAATACCATTTCCCTTCAACTTGCTTTACATCAGTCATCAATTAATAAGAATATATTATGTACTTCATATAAACCTTCCCACATTTCTCTTAATTCAACTACATCTTATTCATTCTATATCTCCCCATCCATTGCTAATGACTAAAGTAAAAGATGCTCTGCTAGTTGATTTGGTGTTTCTTACTGGTTGAAACCAGCTTGTCATCATTTGAAAAAAAATTCCTTGACCAAAGATAAAAGATACCTTGGCAATTAACCACATAGACTCTTTGGAGAAAGGAAGAAAAGGAAAAAAAAGAAAAAGGAAGGATGGAAAGAAGGAAGGAAGGAAGGAAGGAAGGAAGGAAGGAAGGAAGGAAGGAAGGAAGGAAGGAAGGAAGGAAGGAAGGAAGGAAGGAGGAGGGAGGAGGAGGGAGGAGGGAGGGAGGGAGGGAGGGAGGAGGGAGGAGGGAAGGAAGAAAGGGAGGGAGGGAGGAGGGAAGGAAGAAAGGGAAGAAGGGAGGGAAGGAAGGAGGGAGGAAGAGAGGGGAAGAAGGGAGGGAAGGAAGGAGGGAGGAAGGGGGAGGGAGGGAGGAAACAAAAAAAGGCAAGAGAAAAGGAGGAAGGGAGTGGAGGAGAAAGGAAGGAAGGAAAGAAGGAAATAAAGAAAGGAGAGAAAGAGAAAGAAGAGAGAGGAAAAGAAAGAGAAAGGGGGAGAGGAAAAGAGGAAAGAAGGAAGGGAGGAAAGAAGGGAGGGAAGAGGGCAGGGAGGAGGGCATGAAGAGAAAAAAAGAAAGAAAGAACTTCTAATGACCTACTATTGCCACATTCTTCCTTTCATTCCATCACCAGTCCCTTCCATGTCCTTCCCTCAATGGGAAACGAATCAGGCCAAATCACCACTCAATTTATTTCATCACCTGCAGCTCTAACCACTGAGAGCAATCTCAAAAGGAGGGTCTCCCCCAAAATTCTCCCCATATGAATAACCAAGTCATAATGAACCAATCATAAGAGTAAAGAATACCTGACCTAACCTCACCCCCTTCTAAAAGAGGCAAACCAAGTTTAAAAGTTGCCAACTATATTATGTTGCTAAAACAGACAAGGATGTTTTCAATTCAATACTGTGCCCTTCACCAAATGTTTGTCAGGCTCTGCCACTTACTACCTGTGTGACTTCTGTCAAGTTACATTAACGTTTGTGCACCTCAGATTACTCTACTGTAAAATGAGGGAGTTGGAGTCATTGATCTCCAATGGCCCTTCTGGCTCTAAATCTATGGTTCTAAGTGCAGACTGTGGTTCTAGGTGCTGAGGGAGAATCAGAAATAAGAGATGTTCTTTGCCCTTGAGAAGGTTTTGAATTGCAGCTCTAGACTGTGAAAAATACTAGACCTGGGTGCACAAGACTGAAACAAGCAGGATAGGGAGAGGTTGACAAATTTTTAAATTAAATTTTATTCTGAACTTAAACACACCCCTGAATAGTGTTTCCATGAACAAAGACTATAAAAGGGAATATGAATACAAAATATTGTTTCATGGGTATACGAAACCATGACTCTCAATTTGGTATTTTTTTCCAAATGATAATAATAATAATAAATTCCACATGTCACTTTTAAAAATATCCTGCTTGCCTGTTTCCCTCTAAAGTTCTTTCTTTTTTCCTTCTGTGCATTTTTTAAAATGTTACAATGGGGGGAAGGGGAGAAGACAAGGGGCATCATTATTGCTTATCTCACCCAAAACCACCCAATTAGAAGGGAAAAAAAGAAAAAAATCACCTTGTAACAAACAACATAGGCAAACTGAATCTATTTCGTGACCATGTGCAAATATTTATGTCTCTTTCTATACCTACATCCCATCTTGATCAAGAAATGGGTCATAGGTCTGCTGGAGCCATTATCAGTAATGTCTTTCAGTCTTTTTTTTCCTGTACAGTGCTGCGTTCCTGGCATAAATTGTTTTCCTGGTTCTGACCACTTCCCTTTGCATCCATTTCATACTATACAGGATTATCTGAAGTCAAATCTTTCATCATTTCTTACCAAGGAAAAGGATTCCATTATATTCCTATACCACAATTTGTTTGGCCAGTCTGCACTGGACAGGCACTCCCTTAGTCTCTAGTTATTTGCTTTTTTTCCTTTTGATGAAGGAGGGAGAGGGGGTGTACCAATTTTTGTGCAACATTCTAACATGAGTGACTAATATTCATATCCACCTGTTTCCTTAGTTTTGCTGAGTTGCCTTGATAATATCCAGCAGCTGTGTATTCTGTGGTTAATTATACCTTAATCATGTATTAAAAGGAAAAGTGCAGTATTTCCTTCCAAATCTCACCCACCAACACAGACAGGGTGTCTAGCTTCAAAGTACAAGGCCATTAAGACATGCTCCTAAGTCCATGTTATCCCTCTTTTCCATGTCATGAGACCTAGAATGTCAGATAACCAATACAGTCAAGAGTTCATCCAGAGATCAAGCTTCCACAATCTCATAGTGCCCAAGTCTCTACCAGTATGGTCATCCTACATTCAGGAAACTGAACCCCAGAAAGGTGAAGACACTTCATTAAGGCTATATGATGAGTTCAGGATAGACTGGCATCTGGAACCTTTGACTCCCAGGACAATACTCACTCTGTATACAGCCAGGGAGCCTGGTAGATAGAATACTCAGAGTCAGGAAGACCCAAGTTCCAATTCTTCTTCAGTTACCTGCTGGATATTTAACAACAGGCAAATCATTTAACCTCTGCCACACTTTAGTTTACTTATCTGTAAAATGGGGATAATAGCACATGCTTCATAGACTTGTAAGGATGAAATGAGGTAACATGCAAAGTGCTTTGCAAACCTTAAAGCAATATATAAATGTTAGTTATTATCACAAGGCAGCATCCCAAAAATACAGAAAGCAAAAAAATAGACTCAGTAGAAATAGCCAAACCTGGATTCCAGTTATCAGTATCTTCTGGTGCGGACAAGAAAGTGGACAGAATACATGGTTCCTAGCCTGTGGGGTGGGGAGATTGTAAAGTTAAGAAAAGGCTATAAGTTGAGTTGAGTTATGGATAAAGGGAGTCATTTGCTGGGTGATGTTTAATTATTGCGCTTGGGAATAATCTGTTATCAGGGAAATTTAAGTGATTCCATTAGCCTCCCATAGCTTCTGAAAGTAAATCTGTCAAAGCATGGAAAAAAAGGAAGAAAAATAGAGCTCTGTTATATTAATTTGTGTTTTGTAGAGGTTTTTTTTCCTGTTGATTGCCAAATGGAGGAGCTGGCTCATTTATCCACTACAGTAGAGTCTGCTCCCTTACTTTGCAGGCCTACCTGTCTACCCTCTGCTGCCCTCCAACCATATTTTTATACTAAAATCAAAGCTGGAGAAGTTAAAGAACAGCCTTGTTAAGAACAATGTGGAACAAAAGAAGAAACATGGAACTGAGAGTGTAGATAACCCCCAATGCCTTCTCTACCCCCACATCTCAGCAAATATCCCTGCTTCTTCCTTTACTAAGAAAATGGAGACCATCCACCATGAACTCTCTTTTCTCTCTCTTTGACTCAAAACTCCACCATACTTGTGTCCATTGTCTTCATCTTTATTCTCGAGTCTACACAAATGAATTTGTTATTGTTCAATTATTTTTCAGTCATGTTGGACTCTTCATGACCCATTTGGGGTTTTCTTAGCAAAGATACTAGAGTGGTTTGCCATTTCCTTCTCCAGCTCATTTTACTGATGAGGAAACTGAGGTAAACAGAGTCAACACAGCTAAGTAAGCATCTGAGGCCGGACTTGAGCTCAGGAAGGTAAGTCTTCCTGACTCCAGGCACCACACTCTATCCATCGTACCACCTAGCTATCCCACATAAAGAGTTACCCTTCCCTTTATCAAGCATAACCCTCTCTACCTGTGCCCTCAATCTCATCCTAACTAGGTGCTTCAGTAGATAGAGTGCTAGATTTGAAGTGGGGAAGACCTGAGTTTGAATCTTGTCTTTGACACTTAGTAACTGCATGACCCTGGGCAAGTCAGTTAACCTCTGTCCACCTCAGTTTCTTCATCTGTAAAATGGGGACAATAACACCTACCTCTGAGGGTTGTGGTGAGGATCAAATGGGATAATACAAAACACTCTGAAAATCTTGAAGCACTAAATAAATGTTATCCATTATTATTATTCCTTCCCATTTCTTCCAGGAGCTTGACTCATCAATCATTCTCACTCTCACCTTCATTCTCTTCTTATATATTGTTATTTTTTCTGTTTCCTGCAAACATGCTCATATCACCTCCATCTTTTAAAAACACTAACTTAAGCCTGCCATTCCTTCAAGCTATTACCTCTCTTTCTTACCTTTCACTACCAAACTACTAGAAAGGATTGTCTGTATTTAATTCCCTCCACTTCCTCATCACCCAAACTCTTACTGATTCCTTGCAACCTGAGTTCTAGCCAAATTATTCAACTAAAACTGCTCACTCTAATGATACCTATTCAATCTTCACTGCTAGATCTTCTGGCCTTGTCTCATTTCTCATCCTCCCTTTGGCACCCTACTCCTGGATACTCTTCCCATGGTTTCTGTGACACTGCTTTCTCCTGGCTCTCCTCTGATCACTGATCTGATCACTCTTCAGTATCTGTAATTCAATCACTGTACCTCTCCTGTCCTCTTAGCAGGAGAGTTCCCCATGGCTTTGCCCTGGTTGCTCTTCTTTTCTCACTCTCTACATGTACTCACTTGGAGATCTCATAAATTCCTATAACCCTTACTCAAAAACTATTGGTGGTTCCCCATTGCCTGTACAAGGAAATGTCTGGTATTTGAAGCTCTCCACAATATTCTTCCCCACAATATTCTAATACTACTTCCCTTCATTAACTATATTCCAGACATATTGGAATGTTAGTCCTTTCCTGAGTGGGATGTTCTCATACTCCATGTGTTCACACATGCTATTCCCCATACTTGAAATGTCATCCCTCCTCATTTCCATCTCTCAAAATCCTTGCCTTCCTGTAAGTCCCAACTCAAATGATACTTCCCCCTCAGTTATTAATGTTCTTGTTTGTATACAGGGTGTCTCAACATCTTAAGGTTTAAAGCTTAGAATATAAATAGGATATTCCCAAAATCTTAAGCTAGTAAAGCTTAAAACTGCACTAGGACTTTTGGGACACTTTGTATATGTTGAATCTCCCAGCAGAATGCAAATTCTATAGGATGAAGAGACTTTTACTTTGGCTTTTTATCCTCAGAGCGGTTTTGAACATAGTAGATGGTTAATAAGTGTTTCTTGAATTGGGTTCTAGGCTGCCTCTATATCTAGTTCACTGTATGACTTCCAGAAAGTGATCCTATCGCTGGGCCTCAGTTACTTTATATTTACAGTCGGGGGGTAGCTAGATAATCTCTAGAAAAGCTTATAACTTCAGGGTGACTTAACAGATAGGGGTGGGGGTGGGGTGGGGAGAAAGGCTGGCCCCATTCAGGAGTACTTGGGCCCCAAGTAGAAGTGTTTTTCCCTACACTATCCCCTGTTATTTGCATTTTTATATATCCTCTAACTATTTCTGGGGTCCCAGAGCACAGAATTCCTGTATCTGGACCATCTCAGAAGGCCTTTCCAACTCTACTTTTCCATCTTCTGACTCAGGTATATAGATAATCAGAGATTAGAGGAGAACAAGAGAAAAGGAGAAATCTTTTCATCAAAGATTAAGTGCCCAGAAAGAAGAGAGCTGAGGAGGAGAGAGATGAGGAATATGAGCAAGGTAGATCACGTTAAAGCAATAGCTTCCTCTGTACATCATCTTTGATTCTCCCAGTGACTGTTCAGCATAAAAGAACTGCAGATGCACGGAAATGACTTCTCTCAGCACCAGCAACGGTTTCTGCAATCTCTCTCCTCCAAATGGTTGGCCCTGGACAGAATCCCAATCAATCACTGAGGTTTTTTTGGTTTGTTTGTTGGAAGGGGAGTGTTAAGGGGACCCAGTTACCTCACTCAGCAAAGCAGCATCAGAGCAGGAACCACAAGGTAATAGAATCTGTGCAACCTCCCCCGTGACCACCTAGACTGCCACATTACTAGGTCCTCTAGCCTATTGAATTGCACAGAGAACAAGATCAAGAAAAATCTAAAGATATTTACTACCAAGCTGTAAGTCCAGGGTACACACACACACACACACACACACACACACACACACACACACACACACACGAGACTAAACTTTGTTCAAAGGTCATTGCTATTCCTGCTTAGCCATGAGCCCAAGTGTTAAAAATTTCAGCTCTTTCCCTGGTATGTACAGTCCATTGTGACTGACCCCACCCAAAGCTCATTGAATATATTGACTTAATAGATCAGCAGCTGAAAGGAACTTACATCCTGGACTCATGATTTGGTTGGATTTTTTTTCCTCTTAAAATAAATAAATAGCTTTGGTTACCAGTGACCACCTGAGCCAGGTATCCTGTGTGGAAAGCACACAGCCCAGGGAGGGGGACAAAGCCCGGTAGGCATCAGATTGATGTCCACTGATGATCAGAGGACAAGGAAAGGCCAGACTCAAAGGTGAGGCAAGCAAAGACTGAGTCTTTTGGAACCCCCACCATTACCTCTAGCCCTGCCTTTAGAGGGTTGTAGAATTAATCATAAACTTTTATGTTGTTTTTAGTAAAAATCTTAGAGATACAATAGTAATAATCATAATAAGAGTACATTTATGCAGCACTTTAAGTTTTGCAAAATACTTCACAAATATTATCTCATTGTATCCTAACCATCCTGAAAGGTAGATGCTATTATTATCACTGTTTTATGGATGAGGAAACTCAGGCTAAGAAAGGTTTAAGTGACTTGCCCGGGGTCACACAGTAAAAGTCCAAAGCAGGATTTTAGCTCAGGTCTTCCTGACTCCAGGTTTAGCATTCTATCCATTGCACCACCTACCAGCCTAGTCCAATTCCTACCTAAAGCATGAATCCACCCTACAGAATCCCTGAGAAGTAACGGCCTAGTCTTTATATGCCTCCATTGAATGGAAACATAACCTCCCAAGATAACCCATTCCATTTTAATTGTCCTAGCTATTAGAAAGTCCTTTCTAACTTAATGTGGTTCCCCTTTCCTATGTGAACATTTTAGATACTGAAAGGGGCAGAAAAGGGACGCTCATGTGAGAAAAGTAGTTTTAGATAATTCTGAGGACCTGAAATAACTCTTCAAATAAATGTACTGAGAGAACCATCTGAAGGCAGCTGAGGCAACACTACTAAAAAAAGATGGATTCAAGACATTGGTGCTAGCTGGACCTTGTCATGCTAGCTTGCATGACTGTTTCAAAGAACCTGGCTGAGAAGCTCTAAGTCTAAGAACTCTTTGGGAACTATGGAAAACTATATATTGAAGTGTCATTTCTAAAGCTAAATCAGAGAGGATCACCACTCACGCATGAGGAAGCTCTTGTTTGATTATTAGAAACCAGAGGAGAGGAGACGAGGAGATAAGGTGGGAAGCCAGAGATCAGAAGAGGAAGACACAGCAGCCATGTGAAGACGGTAACTGATGACACATACTGCTCCTGATGCTTCAAACAGGCAAAGCAGAGGAACATCAGAAGATACAAGCAGCTGCTTCAGATGGAGTCAACTGACAGCACTCACTGAAGCCCAGTGGGTTCTGCAGCTGCCAGGGGCTCTTGGAAGGAAATAGAATCCTCCTGCTGTGTGAGGTGCTGGTTGAGGTTAGTGCCCTTTAACATCATCTTCAGCGTGAAAGAAATGCAATGTCTTAAGGGCTTAACTGCATTGGCCTCTACTACCCACTTTGGAGAGAGACAGAGACAAAGACAGAGGCAGACAGACAGACCAAGACGGAGAGAGGGAGAGAGGGGGACAGGGGGAGAGGGGGACAGAGAGAGGGGGAAGAGAAGATCCTCAGAGCCCCAGAAAGCAGATGTGAGGAGCTTTGTAGTTACTGAGTTTAAAGAAACTGCTTATCACTGAATTAGCTTTGATACTGCTTTGGCATCCAGCTGAGGGAGTAGACCTAGAAAATGACAGACCTCAGGCTTAGGGGTGCTGCTCACTGAAAGAGTTCAGTGCTGCTATTAATAAAAGATCTTAACACTGCATCAGCAGCCTTAGAGTAGTAAAGAAGCAGCTTCATCCAGCAAGAGAGTAGAAGGATTGAGAAGAGCAGGTGATAAAGGTTGCAAATTCTTCCCTAAAAGAAACCAATACCCAGGCCTACCAGTCCAGAGTTATGAGTTGTCCAAGGTACATGGGTGCCTACTCAGGTGCCTCACTGACAGATTTCTATAAGTGGGTGCCCCAGTGCATTTGGTGAGAAAGTATGACCCAGGTTTATGGGTATACCACTATGTTCTGATTATTCTTATTTCTGATTTATCATTTAATAAATGTTTCATGTTTAAGAATCACTTGTATCATAGTGACTGATGCTGTATAAATTGGAAACACACCAGTGGGGGCTCAGTAGCTGTACTGACTAGTAAAAGTATATTTCCTCCCACACTAAGGTTATCTCTAGGACCTTGAGAATGAATTGTAGCCTCAAAGCCACCCTTCTGGAGACTCCACCCTCACCTGCCAGATTGGGTATAGGTGAGGTAAGACAGCCAGCTCTAGCCCAGGAAGAGACAGCAAGAGCCAAAAAAAAGAAAAAAAGATTGAAATCAGAGTCATGCTCAAGCTACACTTAAATTGTAATATTGACTATTGGATTCGGTATTCAGGAAGACCTGAGTTTGAATCCTACCTCAGATACTTCCTCATTGCATAATGGATCAAGCATTTATTAAGTGCTTATGTGCCAGACATGGAGGAGGAAAGAAAGACAACCTATCCTTCAGGAGCCTCCATTCTAATAGGAAAGACAATGCAAAAAAGGGCTGTGGGTAGATTACTTAACATCTCTCAGCCTCAACTTCGTCATCTATAAAATAAGAAGAAGAATAGCACCTGCCTCACAGGGCTGTTGTGAGGATCAAATGAGGTGACCTATGTAAAGCATTTTGGAATAATTGCTACCTGTCATTATTATTTTTTGAATAATGTCATGCTAGATGCTGCTTCATATAAACCTTACAACTCCCCCTTCCCTTCAGGAAAGGACTAAAGAGAAGGGTAAATAAGTGGTGCAGCAGATAGAGTGTGGTGCCTAGAGTCAGAAAGACTCATTTTCCTGAGCCCAAATCTGGCCTCAGACACTTACTAGCTATGTGACCCTGGCAAAATCACTTAACCCTGTTTGCCTCAGTTTCCTCATCTGTAAAATGAGCTGGAGAAGGAAATGGCAAATCACTCTAGCATCTTTGTCAAGAAAACCCCAAATGGGGTCACAAAAAGGTAGACATGGGGACAGATAGGTGGCGCAGTGGATAGAGCACTGGCCTTGAAGTCAGGAGGACCTGAGTTCAAATCCGGCCTCAGAAACATAACACTTACTAGCTGTGTGACCCTGGGCAAGTCACTTAACCCCATTGCCTAACCCAAAAAAAAAAAGAGGTATACATGATTGAATGATTAAGGAAAAAGTCCTGAAAGTATTTCATAAAAGACAATTTGATTTTCCACACAACATAAGGTAGAAAATGAAACATTGATAGCATTAATACAGACTACAAAATCTTACTGGATGAAGCCACACTCTTCATCCTGGCACACCAGCATGGCCATAACCCATACTATCTCCAGCTTCATTTGCCCACTATTGTCCTACTTGACCTTATTTTGATATGCTGTTTTATGTAATTAAACTATTTCTCCTTAGGCATGGTATGAGGAGGAAAATATGGTCGATTTGAAATCAGAGGACCTTGGTTCAAATCAAACAATTATCTAGCAAGTGTCTACTATATGCCAGACACTGGCGATGCAAGTACAAAGAATGACAACAATCCCTACTTGCAAATTCGCAACAGATTTACATTCTAATCCCGATTCTACAACTTACTATAACCATCTCCCACCCCAGGAGCATGAAGACACCTCTGAAAACAAAGCAAAAGTGGAAGAATATCATCGAATCTTACTAACAGAGAGGGTAAGATCAAATCTCCCTTTCAAAGAGGGACTTAATTCTATCCCCCCCCCCATCCTGGTAATTTGTGGTTGGTCTTCAAGCAAGGCATATGGAAAAAAAAATTTTTTTGGAATAATAGATCTCTGAAGCCAACACTTTTTCCTTCATTGATGGAAATGAACCTCTTATTTTATTTTCATTCACCAATACAATATTATTTCAATCTACTACTCAATTCTCCTATCCACACCCATAATCCATTTACTCACTTGGTGACTCTTCTGCTTTCCAGCTGTTCCATCTTCATGTTCTGTTCAGGCTCCCAGTAAACCACTGTCTGGGGAGAATTAAGTATAGTGCGTGTTCTGCTTTCATTTAGTTTTACCCAGAAACATGGCAAAAGTGCAGCTGATTAAGTCTGGGTGGAGCCTCCTACTCAGGCACCTGCCCCCTCTAAGCAGAGTCACCTGCGAAGGCCTGGCCCTTAGAATCCTGCTTTGCCCATCCTCCTCTGACTCCTAAGAAGCCAAATCAGACTCAGCATGAAAATTCCAATCTCAAAACTCCCTTTCCCTCCATTAAAGGGGCCCCAGCAATAGTGGGCCCCTGCATTCTCCTTATCCAGAAAGGATAAGGAGTCCTATCCCAACCTAGGCTCCCACTGTTTTTTAAAATGTTCCCAATATACTCCTAACCTGGATGAAACGTTCAGTCTCACCCTGTTCAAGCCCCATGTGATGGAGAACACCTTCAGAACTAAAAGTTTGGAACTACTTTTAACTCACAAAACACTTTTCAAATTATTCAGTAAATCATTAATGGGCACTTCCTAGTGGAGGCCCTAGCCTCAAGAACCTCTAGCTAGCTGGAGAGAGAGCCACGGGCCCTAGCTATTGGAGCTTACATGAGTGGCAGTATGGTGCAAATGAGAGAGTTTAAAAAGTTGTATCTGAGTCCCGACTCAAATCATTCAAACTGTCTGAGACTCAATTGCTTCACCTTTCAAATGGGCATAATAACAACTCTTCTGAACACTTGACACAGTTGCTATGAAGAAAGCTTTTTGCAATCTATGAAGCATTATAAATGCGATTTACGGTTATTATACAAGTCAAATAAGGGAGACAAGACCGGCACACAATTCTAGTACAAGCTAGAATGTACAAGTTTGACAAGCCAGGTAGAAACAAAGTACTATAGGAGTTCATAGGAGGGGGAAATCACTTCTGGCTGAGGAGTGCAAGGGAGAGGCATGGAGGTGGGAATCAGGCAAGGCTTCATCAATCACGTTGCAGGAATTTGCAGATATTGGGGGGAGTGGGGAGGAGGGACTGGAGAATAATCTAATGTAGCCAGAAGCTAGGCATAGTGAGGCAAAGAAAAAAAATAAAAGATATCATCCCTGCCCTCGAGAAGTTTAGTCTAGTTGGGGAGACAGACAGATACACACACACACACACACACCACACATACGCACCCCTATGAGTCAGTATAGTATAGTCCAAAAAGCAAAGGATTTGAAGTCAGACAGGTCAGCCTCAAAACTCTACCGGAATCCTAAGTAAGTCACTTCCAGTCTCTAGACCTTATTTTCTCTTCTGCAAAGTGACTTGGTGATTTTCAATGTCCCTACTATCCTCCAAAGCCTGTGATTCTGAGAGAAGAAAGAGAAAGAGACAGACAGAGAGACAGAGACAGAGAGAGAGAGACAGAGAGAGAGAGAGAGAGAGAGAGAGAGAGAGAGAGAGAGAGAGAGAGAGAGAGAGAGAGAGAGAGAGAGAGAGAGAGAGAGAGAGAGAGAGAGAGAGAGAGAATAAAACCAGACTGGAAAGAATCCCCAACTGTATGGCAAGTGAAGTATTTTACTTCCTGTAGGTTCAATGTTATGAATAGCTATTAGATAACATTTACATAGCACTAACTATATTCCAGACACTGAGCTAAGCACTTTACGATTATTATCTCATTTAATCAGAGAGACAGGTTCTATTATTACACCTATTTTTCAGATGAAGAAACTGAGGCAAGTAGAGGTTGAGTAGCTTGCCCAGGGTCACACAGCTAGTAAGTACCTGAGGCTAGATTTGAATTCAGGGCTTCCTGACTCTAGGCTCAGTGCTGTGTCCACTGTACTACCTAGCTGCTCTAAAGAGATAATGAGAGCAGAACTATTTTCATGAGTAAAAGCCGAAGTAACTGAGAAAGCAAGGAGGAGAAGGGAGACTCCAAGAGGGAATCTAGAAGACAATTGCCCTTTTAAGAAAAGTAGGGGATCCAGCCTCCGACCAAACACTTGACACTTACTAGCTGTGTGATCCTGGGCAAGTCACTTAACCCCAATTGCCTAAAAAAAAAAAATTAAATTAAAAAAAAAAAGAAAGTAGGGGGTTCTACTTTTACAAAAAATTGAAGAATTCCAGTATACAAGAATTGGAAAAGAACTTAGAGGTTATGTTGGAGCCAACTCCTTCCATATCTCTCTCTTCTTCTTAGGGTTAAATGCCTCTTTTAGAGCTGGAGAGAGGAAATAGTGCCTAGCGCTGTAGTGAGCACAAGAATATCTCAGGATGAGTTTTGCTATTCAAGGGGATGTATCTAGAAATTGAGAGCCTCAGCTTAAATCTGCTTCAAAAATGCAAAGGAAGCACAGTACAGTGAATAGGGCACTAGGCTGGGAGGCGGGTGACCGAGGTTCTCATCCTGATTTGGCCTCTAACAAGTTGGGTGACACCAAACTAGTTGTTTTTGACAAGCCAAGTCACTTCCCCTTAGTTTCCACACCTCATTGGACTAGATGCTGTCTAAGGTCCCCATCAGCTCTGTAATTCTAATTATCTGTGGGAAGTATTCCATTGTAAGATGGAAGAGCAAGGAAGGTAAACAGGCAGAAGAGAGACAGATGAGTCAAAACTCAGTGCAATGGGGCCAGGGTGGCCAACTGCCCAGGTGTCGCTGGTCTCTCTGTGAGTAGCTAGTCCCCTCCCATCAGGGGAAATCCTGATGCTTCTACCAAAACCAGAAAGTAGCTAAAGAAAGATAACTGTAGCAGTAGAAAGAGCACTAGATTTGGGGGTCTGAAGACCTGGATTCAAATCCTGACTCTGTCACGTATTATCTGTGTGATCTTATGTAAATTATCTTCTTTGGGTCTCAATGCCTTCATAAGTAAAATGAGGAGGTTGGAGTACATGACCTCTACAGACCCTTCTAAGCTCTAAATCAGCAATCTTAGAACCCTATGAAATCTAGCTGAAAGTTTTAATGGGTACTAAATTATTATTACCATAGATGGTAAGAAAGTATTGCCCAGTTTTGCAAGTAGCAATGGACTCAGAAGGGGGATGCTTCATCCTGGTTTTCTCCAAGATAAACCCTAGGGCAAGTGGCAAAGGGAGAATGTGGGGAAATCTTTAAAGGGGAGAGAGAGCCCTTTCTGCTTGCCTAAGGAAGGCTGAGACATAAGGTTGACCAGAATCTAATAAGGGAGATAAAACAGTTATACACACACACATACACACACACACACACACACACACACACACACACACACATACACACACGTACAAGATAGACTAGATAGAAAGTTGGATAAGCAAAGTATGGACAAAGTACTATCAGACTTTTTGACAGGGAGTCCCCTCAGGCCCTTAAGTTCTACTCCAAGGGCAGAGGTCTTTTCAAGTGGAAATCAGATAAAAGTTTATAATCAGTAAATCAACAAGGCAATCAATAAATATTTAATGAATGAATAGATGGGAAATAGGGCAACTTGACAGAATGGATGGAGTACTGGGCTTGGAATCAGTAAGACCTGAGTTCAAACTCTACCTTTGACATTTACTAGCTGGGTGACTGCAGGTAACTCATTGAACTTTCTAAACTTTCAGTACTTCTCTAAGATCACAGAATCATAGATTTAGAAGGGTGGTGATCTGCAGCAATGCAGAAAAGTCACCCACTGAGAATATAACAGATTCTTGACTTACTGATGTATGAATAGATGAATAACTATTTATTAGGCAATCTCTATGTGGTCAATCCTGTGTTCTGCTGGGAAACAGAAGAATTGTAAACTAGGGCCCCTGCCCTCAAGAATGTACTTACTCCCTCCTCATCCTGGCCTCTTAGAATCGCTCATTTCCTTCCAAGATCAGCTCAGACACCACCTACTACATAAGGCCTTTCCTAATACCTACAGCTGCTAATACTGCCCCTAAAATTTGTCTTGTATTCATTTTGAATATAGTTACATGTATACATGTTGTCTTCCTGACCTTCACCCCTCCTTCATGGGCTTTCCAATATAATTTTTCCACCAAGGAGCCCAAATTTGGTAGCCCATCTCTCCAGAAGGTAGGTCACACCTACCTACCTCTTCAGCCTGATCCTATGCTTATCCCCTACACACTACCATTTAGCCAAACAGAGCAACTCATGGTTCCACAAACACTTCTAGTACTTTCCTGATTCAATTCCTACACTCATATTACCCATAACATTTATAAGTTCATAAGATTTCAAGCTCACAAAAAAATTATATATACACACACACACACACACATATATACACATATATATATATATATGTATATATATATTATATATATTTCCAAGGTTCTCTTCTCTCTCTCTTTCTCTCTCTCTCTCTCTCTCTCTCTCACACACACACACACACACACACACACGTGTGTGTGTGTGGAAAATTCTGTTCCCTGAGCCCTACATGGGCTGCCAGACCATGTGGCAGAGTCTATGGCTAAGGTTGCCCCATAGTGGAGCCAAGGAACATCTGGAGCTCTTTCCCCATAACTTTTACAGCTGGCAAACCCTAAAGTGGGTGCCACCAAAGACCCAAAACATATTTGGACCTGAATGTGTTTTTGAAAAAACTCTGTCTAAAGTCCATGGTGCTCTGAATGCCTAAGACCTTCCTTCTGCTCTGTGTGTTGAGGTTAAGCTGGTTATTTGTGCTCCTTCTTGTCTACTGAGACTTAGAAAAACACAGTTGTGTGGCCCCAACAGCACAAACAATATCAGCCCTATCCTGAAATAAAAAGGTTGGGGGTGGGAGTCGCAGTTCAGCTTAAAACTCTCTATATACGAAATTCAAATGAACCCTCCATGAACAGTGTGCCCAGCCCACCCCCCACTGACATCTGCTATATGGTAGGCAAGAACAGGTAGACCAGGGAGAAATGTTCCCTCTCTCTACCTGGGAAACTGGGAGCATGTTTGAGTATTTATTGATTTTCCAGCACCCATTATTGTCTTAGAGAAAAGAAACTAGTGTCAGCCTTCTGGAGCTCTGTATCCATCTACCATCCCCAGACCAATTCTCAATTCCCTGGTATGTCCAACTCCTTGGAATTTCCAAGGCATTTCCATCATGGAGTACAAATTCTGTAGTCTGGCTCTCCTCAAGGTGGG